ACTTCGTGCCTCATCCGTTTGTGATAGGTTGTCTTCGTGCCTCACCCGTTTGTGATAGGTTGTCTTGGAGCCTTACCCCTTGGTGATAGGTTGTCTTCGTGTCTGACCCGTTTGTGATAGGTTGTCTTTGTGCCTTACATGTTTGTGATATGTTGACTTTGTGCCTCACCCGTTTATGATAGGTTGTCTTCGTGCCATACCCGTCTGTGATAAGTTGTCTTCTGCCTTACCCGTTTGTGATATGTTGTCTGTGCCTTACCCGTTTGTAATAGGTTGTCTTGGTGTCTCACCCGTTTGTGATAAGTTGTCTTCGTGCCTTACCCGTTTGTGATATGTTGTCTGTGCCTCAACCGTGTGGATTTCAGGGCCCTATTAAGGTGCAGGCAAGTTGAATCAGACAAGTCTATGATCTCCCTAGCGATTCATTATGGGAACTCAGATGAAGTAGTCTGGTTCGGCAGTGGAAACAATCGAGATACACCAATAGAAAAATAGGAAAAGAGTAGACCCACTGCCCAGGGCCGTATTAACAGCATTTTGGGCCCCTGTGCAAATCAGTGTGTTGGGGTCCTTACGACAAGCACTAGTTGGACTTAAATAAACATTGTCTATAATACTACACATATACGCAGTTAAGCATCGGGCCCCTGCATACACTAATGGGGCCCCCGGACAAGTGCCCAGCGGGCCCTAGCTTTAAGGCGGCCATGCCACTGCCCCCTAACAAGTATGTCGTATAAGGCGACTAGTTAAGCGTGTATCCATTGAAGTCAGTGTGCATCTGCTGAAAAGGCAAGGAATAAACAGTCAGCATACCCACAGATACCCCCGCCACACACACACACACACACACACACACACACACACACACACAACGCATGTGTACGCAAAACTCAAGTTCTGGAACAAGGCTACAGTACAGAAGGGGAAGAACAAATATAACTTTCCACCAGTTTACTGTCGATGAACTCTGAGGAGAAGAGAACTGGGGCAGAGGAATGAGGAAGAGAACTGGGGCAGAGGAATGAGGAAGAGAACTGGGGCAGAGGAATGGGGAAGAGAACTGGGGCAGAGGAATGAGGAAGAGAACTGGGGCAGAGGAATGAGGAAGAGAACTGGGGCAGAGGAATGGGGAAGAGAACTGTGGCAGAGGAATGAGGAAGAGAACTGGGGCAGAGGAATGAGGAAGAGAACTGGGGCAGAGGAATAGGGAAGAGAACTGGGGCAGAGGAATGAGGAAGAGAACTGGGGCAGAGGAATGAGGAAGAGAACTGGGGCAGAGGAATGAGGAAGAGAACTGGGGCAGAGGAATGAGGAAGAGAACTGGGGCAGAGGAATGAGAAAGAGAACTGGGGCAGAGGAATGAGGAAGAGAACTGACTCGTTATCCTTGAATAAGCATGTCATAAAGGGCTACTAGTGGGAAGTTTGTTGAAATTTTATGGTATGGACCGCAAGGCACAGATATCGCAGCCTAGCCGTAGCCTCCAGTTCTTGGCGCATCTGCGTAAATATGTGCGCCAACAATGCTTTTATAATGAATATTTACTTTTTATATCTAGCGCCAATTTAATGTTTATCTTCACAATGTTATAACACTTAAAATTCATATTCCTATCGACGCTGCACTGAATTATTCCTTTTTTTTGTGTGTGACACCAGCTTCTTCAAACACATAGTTGAATTGTTTCAAAATAAGAATTTAATTTCTTATAGATTAAACCTCAGTTAGGCAGGAGAATTTGAGAACTTACTTCGCACGTACTGAATGGCACTTATTGAAGTAAATTATTATAACAGAAAAAAAAATAGAATAGCCCCCCCCCCCCCCCCTAACTATTTCAGAGAAGTATATTCTTAGTGGTTAACATTTCTATTTTTAATTTCCTAAACTATATAGCCCCTCGATGCTCTATTACATTAAACATTGTGCAGCGTCCCCATGGAAATCCGCTGTCTCAAATCAAACAGAATGATGCGCTGATGAATTTGCGTCTTTCTGTCTATTTGATCTCAAACGTGCGGGACGCACCCTCTAGGAAAGTGGGGGGGGGGGGGGGGGGGGGGGGGGGGGGGGGGGGGGGGGGGGGGGGGGGGGGGGGGGGGGGGGGGGGGGGGGGGGGGGGGGGGGGGGGTTAGGGCGCGTCAAGCAATTATGAAATCTAGTTCATTTATACATCCGGATTTTCAGATTTAACAGTCATAAAAAGAAAAACATCACTGCCAGTTTCAGGTGGAGGGTGTTCTCGATCGTGAACTGTCCAACTTTAGACCAACATATCCTGAAGGCAATGCAGCCTCAACCATCATTTCGATAAATGAACAATAAATTACCAGTTGTTGATGTAGGTTTCTTTTGCTATATTACACTTTGATTTATGTGTATGTTTTTCTCCACGTTCTTGCTAACAGTACCTGTGATTTATTCTCCTCTTCTTAATCACAGTTTGTCATATTGGGTTGGGGAACTTGGCAGCGGTCTTGCCATATACTTAAAGAAGGTGAGAGCTGAACAAGGTCGGAGACCATTGCTTTACACAGTCAATAAAGTTGTTTTAATAAAATCAGTTATTCTAACACTAACTTTACACACTGAAAATTTACATTAAACACACACACAAACACACACACACACACACACACACACTGACACACAGACCAAACATTTGAGGTATTGTTCATGAGATGGATACACCTGGGGGTTTGTGATTACTTCGTTTGATTTTGCTACACAAAAGAAAAAACAATGTGTTTGAAAAAAAAATTATTTATCTTTTTCTTTTGTTGAATACTTTCGCCCTCCATACACATTTATGTTTTTAAATTGCATACATTCAAATACACACTATACCTCCTCCATCACAAATGGTTCCACTCCTCTTCCATCGCTCCAGACATGGCTCCTGCTGCTACTATAGCTTTTCTATTAGGGGGTTTCATTCGAAGCAGCAGTGCATCTGTCTCAGAGACGAGGAACCAACAGACTGTATAAATATGCCGATTAAAAAAAAAAACGGATGTGCAGGGACAATTAAAGTTCGGAAACAAGACACAGTCCAGAATACGAGTCGCCGAAGCGTTGTCAGCTAGACGCCCGCCTGCGGAACGGACGGTCGTGGGTTCGCATCCTGACAAAGCCGAACTTTTTTTTTTCCTTCAAAAATGACCTGACTCCCAGGTACACCCAGCCTTGAGTGGTTACCAGGTGCAGTTCTGAAAAGTAAAGGCCGCTTGTTGTGTGGCCGATTGGTCTATAAAGAATATAGGTATAGCCGTATATTCCCAATACGACTAAAGGAGTGGAAAAGGGACTTTCACAAAGTCCAGAAGTTTACAAACAACAAGAACTTTCCGTGGGAGTTACCAGCTGTGAACACTAAAAAAAAAAAAGAGGATTATGGCTACCACAGCCTCATTGGTGGTTCACATACACGGTGCTTCGTTTAGCCATAAGCTGAATACGGTAAGCTTGAGCTTACGGCCACACAATACGAAGGACATGCAATTGTTTATATTTACATGTTTTAAATTAATTATCTTTTAGTATATTTAAAATTCACTTGTCTTTTAATATTATTTGGACTTTAAAAATGTTTTCAATTGTAAGTTAGAGCCTTCCGGAGGACTATATTATAGTTTCTGTGATTTTTACAACACATTCTTTTTGATTGTTTTTTTTTTTTTTTTCTTCTAAATTAAACAACTTTATATTTCCTTTATACATATATTCCCTTGTGACACTGGCAAAACCAGCTCTACGCTGGACAGCAGATGGGAAAAGAAGACGTGGACGACCTAAGGAAACCAGGAGAAGGACGGCAGAACAGGAAATGAAGGAATGTAAACTGACATGGGATACCATGGGCAGAAAAGCAGCAAACCGGCTCAATGGAGATCACTTGTGAATGTCTTATGTGTCTGCAGCGACATGAAGAGGATAAAGAATGCATATGTTTAAAGGACGTATAGATCTCAACGATTTATGTGATTGATTAGTGTCATTTAAAACGGTAATAAGAAGAAACTCCACAGCGGAGCATGTACAGCAGGAATCTACCAATCATCAGTAGAAGTAACCTCTCGTCGACAAATGTTTCGGCCCTCGAGCTCCTATACATTTTCAGAGAGTGGGCCCACCTGAGTTCATACAGCTCAGGGTTGGTTTCTCCTGCTGCACATATTACCATATGCCCATAAAGGAGGCGGAAGGAGGGTCAGCATCTGCCAGTTTGGGAAGCTCTGATGTACAACATGAGGTCAGGCTCCGACAAACCGCCCTTACCTGATCTGGAGCGATCCACATGGGTTTATTCAGAAGGATCCAGGTGACTGTCTCGTAGCAGCCCGGATAGGTTAGAGAGCCCTCGTAGGTGACGTACTCTGTGGTATTGGGAATGATGTGGCCGATGGGAATGTCTTTGATGGGAGCTCTCTCATCTGTTGAGATATAACAGATAATTATTGTCTTAAGCCTATTGACAAATAACAAGTTGAGTTATGATGAACCTACGAACAGACATCACATACTAGGGACACTACCACAGGCGCTCTGTCCTCATCTTCAGCTGCTATCAAAGACATCCAGTGCCGATAGTGTCATTGTCAGTTTGATTACTGTATTTGCGCGCGCGCCCGTGTGTGTGTGTGTGTGTGTGTGCGCGCGCGCGCGCGGAGATACGTTTTCCCACATTTGGTAAGTTTCAAGTTAGGGGCGTCTTAAACATGGAAGGTGTTTAAAATATTTGTTTCTTAATTCTGCGCTAAACAAAATTGAGCTCCTCTTGTGCATAGAAAAATACTGCATGTGTCTGTCTTGTCTTTCACGTGAGTCTACAGTGTCGACAAGACACCTCTGGGCCTCCCATTTGTACCATTCTCTCCAGACTATATTAATCTATTCGTGTTTGCACATTGTCCCCTTGCTTCCAAAAGTGCATGACCATCAAGTTTGTCTTGCATCAATTAACCACCCAGTGGCGCAGAACCAGTCAACGTGTAGTCTGCTTGTTCATTTCCCAAAATACAGAAAGACCCGTGCAGGAAAAATCCTAAGACTCTAATCACACATGATCCCTGAATCGATTTGTACCTTTCTCATCATTCATGCCTTGTGAGTCAGTCACAGTCACAACAAGTGTCTGCAAGCCAGAGGAAAGCTGCAATGACCGCCTCCACCTCCATTCTCTGAGATATGTTTGTATCATATACCAGGCCTAGTGAACATAAGGGAGGCAGGAGAATGGTATAACTAGGGGTGACCAGGAGGTCCGGTCGAATCTTTATACTCCGGGGAACGGAAAGAACGGACATATAATCCAATTACTACTGGCAATATCAGAACTGAAGCTAATCGCTGGCTGCTGAAGATGAGGACGGAGTGCTTATGGGAATGACCCGAGTGACGTGATTCGGGGACCTGCACAGTCGTGGCGACAGCACTAGCCAATGGGCCGAAATTTTTCTGCCTTAAAGACCCCCTGCCTATACCACAAAAGTGATTAAAAAAAAAGGTAGTAATTGGCCGCTGGCAGTTAGCGACCATGTACGTGCACCACAACCCGAGTACCTGTTGGAAATCACCATAACGTCTTGTCCTAATGCCATATAAGCGTTGCAGGAGAAGTCCGAGGCCTGGGAGTCATGATCCAGGTCGGCCAGCTTCCCGAGATTGTCTGAGAGTTAAATGGGCCGAAACCATTGTATGCTCTGCATACACCCGCTGTGGGGTTCCTCTTATATTATTAACCTATATGATTGTGGCGTGACATGATTCAGTTGCAAAGGAATACTGGAGGCCGTAAGGGGGATAGGGTTGGTGTCTAAAAAAAAAGAGTGGGCGAAGAAGCACCTTGCAAGACAACATCAACAAATTGACAGGACTATATTTCTGTAGCCTTTGCTCAAAAGGCCTAAGACAAAGGTGCCGGGTTTTGTGTACTAGTGCGATACACAACTACCAGTGCTTCCATCGATACAACTCCACGACTCTGAGGCAAGTGTTACGTTACGTATATTAAGATATGAAGAAAGACTAATAGGAGTATTCAGTAACATTATTCTAGCGAAAAAAACAGACAATCAGACAGACAGACAGAGACAGACAGAACGACCGACCGACCGACCGACCGACCGACCGACCGACCGACCGACCGAAGGACCGACCGACCGACCGACCGACCGACCGACCGACCGACCGACCGACCGACCGACCGACCGACCGACCGACCGACCGACCGACCGACCGACCGACCGACCGACCGACCGACCGACCGACCGACCGACCGACCGACCGACCGACCGACCGACCGACCGACCGACCGACCGACCGACCGACCGACCGACCGACCGACCGACCGACCGACCGACCGACCGACCGACCGACCGACCGACCGACCGACCGACCCGACCGACCGACCGACCGACCGACCGACCGACCGACCGACCGACCGACCGACCGACCGACCGACCGACCGACCGACCGACCGACCGACCGACCGACCGACCGACCGACCGACCGACCGACCGACCGACCGACCGACCGACCGACCGACCGACCGACCGACCGACCGACCGACCGACCGACCGACCGACCGACCGTCCGACCGACCGACCGTCCGACCGACCGACCGACCGACCGACCGACCGACCGACCGACCGACCGACCGACCGACCGACCGACCGACCGACCGACCGACCGACCGACCGACCGACCGACCGACCGACCGACCGACAGACAGACAGACAGACAGACAGACAGACAGACAGACAGACAGATAGATAGATAGATAGATAGATAGATAGATAGATAGATAGATAGATAGATAGATAGATAGATAGATAGATAGATAGATAGATAGATAGATAGATAGATAGATAGATAGACAGATAGACAGATAGACAGATAGACAGATAGATAGACAGTTAGATAGATAGACAGATAGACAGTTAGACAGATAGATAGATAGATAGATAGATAGATAGATAGATAGATAGATAGATAGATAGATAGATAGATAGATAGATAGATAGATAGATAGATAGATAGATAGATAGATAGATAGATAGATAGATAGATAGATAGATAGACAGACAGACAGACAGACAGACAGACAGACAGACAGACAGACAGACAGACAGACAGACAGACAGACAGACAGACAGACAGACAGACAGACAGACAGACAGACAGACAGATAGATAGATAGATAGATAGATAGATAGATAGATAGATAGATAGATAGATAGATAGATAGACTAGATAGATAGATAGATAGATAGATAGATAGATAGATAGATAGATAGATAGATAGATAGATAGATAGATAGATAGATAGATAGATAGATAGATAGATAGATAGATAGATAGATAGATAGATAGATAGATAGATAGATAGATAGATAGATAGATAGATAGATAGATAGAAAGATAGATAGACAGATAGATAGACAGATAGACAGGTAGAAAGACAGATAGACAGATAGACAGGTAGATAGATAGATA